TACACAATGATGTAAAGATTGTCTTTGGTTTCAGGAAAGTATTTTGAATTACATATTTAAATATTTGTCCCATTCCATATTTTGTTTTTCTCCTCTGAGATGTTCTTTGTCTGTCTGTATAACTATTTTTTTCTCGCTAATCTCTTTTAACTATTTTGATACTTCTGTATCATTAGGTTTGTTATTTTTACTTCTATCTTCTATTTCCCTACTTCTTGTTGGCTATAATGTATATAACAATGTCTATGATCTCTTGCTTTCCTTCCAATTCCGTCTTTATTTCTATGATTCTGCCATTTTTTTCCTAATATTCCTTTTTTTTTTTTTTTTTGAGACGGAGTCTCACTCTGTCATTCAGCCTGGAGTGCAGTGGCGCGATCTCAGCTCACTGCAACCTCCGCCTCCCGGGTTCAAGCGCTTGTCCTGCCTCAGCCTCCTGAGTTGCTGGGACTACAGGCGCATGCCACCATACCCAGCTAATTTTTGTATTTTTAGTAGAGACAGGGTTTCACCATGTGAAACCACCAGGATGGTCTCTGTCTCTTGACCTCGTGATCCATCTGCCTCAGCCTCCCAAAGTGCTGGGATTACAGGCGTGAGCCACCACGCCCGACCTTTTTCCTAATATTCTATCATGTTCTGTCAGCTCACTTCTTTATCTTCCTGATGTCTGCCCATTTTTTCCCTGAATTCTTATATTCTGTATTTGTAACTTTTCTTCAGAGAGGCAATTGCTTTCATTATTTAAAAAAAATTGTCACCATCGTAGGTCACCATATGTGGTCACCAAACATTTGGCCATCATCAGAAGTTGGATTCCCTCTGAAGAAAACAAAGGTGTGAGGGCAAGTTGTAATTTTGGAGATAACCCCAAGAAACATTGGGGTGAGTTTGATAAATTGAGACCAGGAAGGGATGGCAGTCAATGCAGAGTGCATGAATGAGCCAATCACTGCTATAACAAGTGGATCCCAAACCTTCTGAGTTCCTCTAGGAGACTTTGTGAAACAGGGATTATAAAACTTTAATACGTATACAAATCATCTGGGGATTTTTAGAAAACACAGGTTCTCATTCAGCAGGTCTGAGATAAGGTCTGAGATTCTGCATTTCTCATAAGACCATCCCAGACAATGCTGAGTAACAGGGATGCAGAATTCATCTCAGCACTGTCCCTCCCTCACATTTCCCAGGGTGAAGCAATTCCTGTCTGTAATTGGTTGAGCAATGTTCCTGGGGCTGTAAGCTCTCTGGCACTTTCAGCTTGCTCTGCATGTCAGAAAATCAGTCAGAGAAAGCTGTCATGAAGTCAAAGAGGCATGCAGCAAAAAGTCGTCAGCCTGTCTAGGAACTCTGAGTGCAAAGGGGATGACGCATCTGCTACTCACACTTTTCATCAGTTCTGAGGCAACATTTTTCTGGAGAATGTTCTTTATGTGTCAGTAAGTTTCACTCCTCTATCATACTTTTTTTTTTTTTTTTTTTTTTTTTTTGAGACAGAGTCTCGCTCTTGTTCCCCAGGCTGGAGTGCAGTGGTGCAATCTCGGCTCACTGCAACCTCCACCTCCTGGCTTCAAGCAATTCTCCTGCCTCAGCCTCCTGAGCAGCTGGGACTACAGGCGCCCGCCACCACACTCAGCTAATTTTTGTGTTCTTAGTAGAGACGGGGTCTCACCATGTTGACCAGGCTGGTCTTGAACTCCTGACTTCAGGTGATCCGGCCGCCTCAGCCTCCCAAAGTACTGAGATTACAGGCGTGAGCCACTGCGCCCAGCCACAATTTTTTTTTTTTTTTTATAGTATCTTTGTTCCTGTTTTTTCTATTACTCATAATTAAATAGATTATATTCTCCTGAGGTCAGCTATTTCTAGTACATTCCTATGGCACAGAAGTAAGGCTGGATAATGGGCAAGGGCAACATCACAAATCAAAGGCTAAATCTCTGCTACTACCATAAGGACAAATTACTTCCTACAACTATGATTCATTCACCTTTGTGATCCGTTGTGCAGCCCCAGCTCCTTTACTTCTCTGACCCACGGGGTGTGGTGGCTCATGCCTGTAATTCTAGCACATTGGGAGGCCAAGGCAGGCGGATCACCTGAGGTCAGGAGTTCGAGACCAGCCTGGCTAATACGGTGAAACCCCGTTTCTACTAAAAACACAAAAAATTAGCCGGGCATGGTGACGCACACTTGTAATCTCAGCTACTCAGGAGACTGAGGTGGGAGAATCGCTTGAACCCAGGAGGGAGAGGTTGCAGTGAGCCGAGATCATGCCATTGCACTCCAGCTTGGGCAACAAGAGCGAAATCCCGTTAAAAAAAAAAAGGGATCATACAGTTATGGAGGCTGAGAAGTCCCACAATCTGCCATCTGCAACCTGGAGACCCAAAAAGCTAGCGGTTAGCTCCAGTCCAAGTCTAAAGGCCTGAGACCCAGGAGTACCTAAGCAAACCTACGCCAAGTGCTTATGCATGAACTATTTATAACTATTTTGAACTAAGAATAATTTGCAGCCCAGCAGTGGTTTAGGAATGCCTTTAAGTGGTTTTCCACCCTGGGTGGGCCAGGTGTTCCTTGCCCTCATTCTGGTAAACCCACAATCTTCAGCATGGGCGTTATGGCCATCATGAACATGTCACAGTGCTGCAGAGATTTTGTTTGTGGCCAGTTTTGGGGCCAGTTTATGGCCAAATTTGGGGGCCTGTTCCCAACACTGCAAAATAATTTATCTAATGCTGTATCACAGATTAAACATTCTTTTTTATCTTCTTTTAATTAATATTTAATGATACATTAATTTTCATGATCATAAATTACACTGAACTTAATAAATTATGCAAAAAATGATCTTGACTATGCAATGTCGCTTACACTAACTCTTTCATTTTGTATAACTGGTATATTTTTCACTCTATGGGTAGAATAAAAATTAAGGTTTAGCCCAACCCAATAACTCCATTAAGTCTTAATTTAAATAATTTAAACTGAGTTTTATTGGAATGGGCCCAGATTTCAGATTTTCCTTGCATCTACTGTTATTTCTAAGAAGTTCACAGGGTTTACTCTACCTCATGGCATTGTGGGAAGAAAATGTTGTCCATAACGTGGTATTGATCCGGTCCCATCCTTAGGTGCTCTGTTGGCACCTGCTGCTGAAGATTTTGGCTGATGTAACTTGTGGACTGTTCTTCCGGACAACTTGGCTTTATCTTAGTTCTCAGGGGTGCCTATGAAATCCCTCAAGATGTCTCAGTATGCGTCAGTTGGCTTTAGTAGCATGATAAAATATTTTTAAATTTAGTGGTTTAAAATAACTATCTAGCTCATGATTCTGCTGGGCACTTCATTGTCTGGACCAGGCTCAAGGGATTTCAGTTGGGTTGTTCATGCATTCATGGTTAGTTGGCAGGTCAGTGCATAACCGATTGGCCTCACCATTCAAATGTCTGGTGGTTGACAGGTACAATGGGAGTTACTAGCCCATCTACCTTTGGTTATCTGGCAGGCTAGATGGAGGTTTTCATGTCACCACTGAAAAAAAGCAGCTATTCTAAAAGCAGACAGAGGGGAAAACTCTACAGCACAATTGCTTTTCAAGTCACTTTTCAAGTTTACATAATATTTTCTAATGTCCCATTGGCTAAAGCAAGTGTAGGAGCACACTATTAAAGGGCATGGGTAGATGGAAAGAAATAATTTGTGGCCATTTTTATAAACTACAACATGCTGTGATTGCCAGTGAGTTACCAAGAAGGCCAGGCATGGTGGCTCACACCTGTAATCCCAGCACTTTGGGAGGCTGAGGCGGGCAGATCACCTGAGGTCAGGAATTCAAGACCACCCTGGACAACACGGTGAAACCCCATCTCGGCTAAAAATACAAAAAATAAGCTGGGCGTGGTGGCACGTGCCTGTAATTGCAGCTACTCAGGAGGCTGAGGCAGGAGAATCACTTGAACCCAGGAGGCAGATGTTGCAGTGAGCCGAGATCGCACCACTACACTCCAACTTGGGCAACATAGTGAGACTCTGTCTCAAAAATAAATAAATAAAATTACCAAGTGCCATAGCAACCCACTCTGGTATACTACCCAATTAGACTAGGTAACCTGTTGGGGGCATATGGAAATAATGCCATTTAAGACCCAAGGGCAGCTTTGGAATACTAGCTCTAGTTTTCTCTGTCTAACCACTCCATTGTCCCTTGTTTCTGGGATAAGTGGGGAAATGAACCCCCCTCAGGTTTATCTTCAACCTCTCCTATATACATCCTGTCCACCTGCTAGGATTCTTAGTTGCAGACAACAGGATCTGCTAATTTAGGCATAAAATGCATATCAAAATATGCTAGGCAGATACTCTGAGAGGACCAAAGAATGGACCTATATACTGTAATCCCAGGATCAAAGCATTGAGAGAAAATACAGTCTGGGAACACACACAATTATATCACAAATCCTGGGAAAACACAAGTCTGGGAAAACACAAATTATATCACAAATCCAATTATATCACAAATCCACCACTCAGATCCTTTGACACTGGATGCCAAAAACTCCACCACAGCTGAAGATCAAATGCCTCAACCCCTGAACTTTCCAGATGATCCCCTCTTCCCACATGCAACCACCAACTCCTGTTGCTGCCTCCAAGTTGAACACTGATGCTAAGAAATTGGGTCACATGCAGAACTCTAAAGGCAAGGAAATCCGAGATGTGTAGTTTTTAAATTTCCGACTACTTTTATCCAGAAAAGTAAGCTAGAAAGTGGTTACAATGGATGCGAAGTGACCTAATCTGCAGTATGTGTTGTAGTTTCCTATTCCAAACCCCAAGGCTAGAGAAGGGAGATCAGGATACAAGAGTATGCTACCCCACATTCACTTCTCCTACTCTTCCTACAATCTCATGAGCTTTCTACTAATGAAGTGAGTGGCTTTCTACTTTCACTCTTGTATGTATTTGAGTAGTACATATCTACATTTCTTTTTTTTATTCATGTATTTATTCCACAGTCAAAATAAGTCATAATTTAAAGCTATAACATTTTTAAAAGATAAAGGAGAATTTGTGGCACAGCTGCATCAACAAAAGAGACACCGATCTAAAGTGCAACACTAAACAGGTGTTCTCTGTTCCCATGGTGGAGTAAATACACACAATTACACATAAGATTTCACTGAAGATAGGAGATGAGGCAAATAACCCTTTGAAATTAACTGCCCAACGAATAGAGGCAGGCTACATTAATTTAACATTTTACTGCAAAATGGAAAAAGTCCCCGAGGTGACTAACTCAAACCCCTCATTTCATGCACATGACCTTGGCTTCTGTGTTCTTTCCACAGTCACATCCAAATCCAGAAAGTCTTCTGCACCCCATGCTCAAAAATGCAACCTCAAGTCCCTGAGGTCCTCAGCACAGACTGACGTTAACAAGCCTGTGTGCAGCCTTCATCCAGAACCTCCAGGGAAATCAGGAGCACAAACACAGAGCAAAGCACCATTTCTTTAAACAATGGCTTTAACGGACAAATGAGCTCTGACAAGCCATATGCATTTCATAAACAAACCAAAACATCATCTTCATATCTTCCTATTTTTCTTGCAAAAATATTAAGCCATCGAAGTAAAAAAAAAAAATTTTAATTTAACAATGAAAAAGGAAATTCAAAGGGTTTATGCCACAAAACAAACCAGTCCTCAGCAGCCTAACTCATTTGTTTTTAGGCTGTGAAGCCATGTAGAGGGCGATCAGGCAGTAGATGGTCCCTCCCACAGTCAGCGCCACGGTGGTCCGGTAAAGCATTTGGTCAGGCAGGCCTCGTTTCAGGTAGACGGGCACACCATCAGTTTTCTGGAAAAACTTCTGAAGCTCTGGAACTCTGTTTTTCCCAGCATAATCATACACTGTGGAATCGGAGGTCAGTTTATTTGGTGTGGCAAATATGATAGGTGGTGCTCCTGTGGAAACCATAGGCTTTAATCCCTGCGGGCTATAGGCCTCCAAAGCCCACGCTCCGGCCAACTTCTGCGTGAAGCCACTAAATTTGTAGTACATGATGCCCCGAGTCCAGCTTCCTGCTGATATCTACATTTCATGTTTTTGTTTGTTTGTTTTTGTTTGAGACGGAGTCTGCTCTGTCGCCCAGGTTGGAGTGCAGTGGCCAGATCTCGGCTCACTGCAAGCTCCGCCTCCCGGGTTCACGCCGTTCTCCTGCCTCAGCCTCCCGAGTAGCTGGGACTACAGGCACCCGCTACCGCGCCCGGCTTATTTTTTGTATTTTTAGTAGAGACGGGGTTTCACCGTGTTAGCCAGGATGGTCTCGATCTCCTGACCTCGTGATCCACCCGCCTCGGCCTCCCAAAGTGCTGGAATTACAGGCGTGAGCCACCGCACCTGGCCTGATATCTACATTTCATGAGGGCACTGAGTCTTAGTGGTGGATGAAGCATTTGAGGGTAGGGTTCAGTAGCCAAGAATAACCTGACGCACATATCCACGTGCAAATGATTTATGAAGGAAATTTTCTTGAAATAAACTGATAAAAAATACAGGAACAGAGCAGATGGATAAGAAAGTAGGAGAAGGTTTGCAAGATTGCAATTGAGGCGAAATCTTTAGGACAACCACAGCCTAATCCTGTGGGGTAACTCTGAAGTATGGTGCCTTAGAGTTTGTCCCAATCGGAGACAAAGGGGCTCGACTTTCACAGTAGTGCATTCTTCAGCTGTTGGCTAAGGGCTTTCCCAGGAGGGTCGAAACATCTAAGTAGTTCTAACTCTCTGTACTTGTCAGAAAAACTGACTTCAGGAGTCCAGTGACACTCCTCCAACTGGTGGGTGGGAAGGAGGAGGTTGAAAGCAAAAGTTGGCATTGAAGTTGACAGAGGGGTAACAGAAACAATTTTTTTTTTTTTAATTACAAAGGAGGAGACCTAGAGGAAGCACGGTGGACAGTGTCCACTCTAGATTATGTGCTCATTACCATGAAGTCCCTGGGCCTGGGTTTTAATATGCATCCTGGTATAGTAACTTGGCATTCAATGTCTATTCCACCCTCCTCGGTTGTGCCCTCTTGTTCTGCAGTGGCTGGAAAACAAAAACTACATTTCCCAGGCTTCCTTGCAATTAGAATCCTAGATGTGATTTAAAGTCAGGCAATCGGATACTTCGATGCAAAATTTAGAAGGTGGGAGTGACACAAAGGCTGAGATTCTGCTGTTAGTACTAGGTTTTGGGGCAAGAATGATTTTGCAGGTATTTTTTTTTCTGTGGCAGCATTAACAGTGGTCTCAGGACCCACTCATGATGTTGAGAGACAGGACTCAGGGCCTTCATTTTGCTTGTATGAATCATAGCAGGAGTGACACACCTCTGCAGCTCACAGCAGCAGTTTCCTGATCATGGTGGTTTCCTGATGATGGCAATAACAACACAGTTCTGGAGCCAGGAGCCCCCTGTTCATGTAAGAGGCAGCAGCTGCCCTGATGGTCAGGTTCTATGATGAGTCTGTGGAAGGGAATATGCCCCCCATGTGATGGGGAGCCGCGTATTTAATCACTCCTCACTCCACAAAGCTGTTTCTCCATATCAAGGTTTTCCCTTCAGTAATTCCACCCACAAGACCATTTATTTGGAAGAGGCACCAGGCCTGGAGTTTGGGAGTACAATGGGCATGTGACTGTGGGAAATTAGTCAATCTCCACCCATTTTCCTCAGATCTTCAGCACTGTTTATTCACTACCCTGATTTTGCTTCTGCAAACACTCATACCAGGGCTTGAATCTCGGAGAAGCGTCTCAGTTTTCTCCATACCTTTACAGTATCTCTCAGAGATCAGTTTTGGCTAAGGTAGCTAGTTGTCTTAGCTGACCATCTTCGTTGATACTTAAACTGGAACCCAAGGAATTATTTTGTAGAATAAGTGTAGCAATCACTGTGTTTATTCGTGCTATCTTTACTGTTGAAGGTGTTTGAAATGTTTACACTGCTGATAAAGTGTCTGAAGTCTTCAAAAAGAAAACCAGTTACATTAAATGTGTTATTGGAGCTTAAATTGTTTAAGGAAATTTAATTAAGACAGCATTTAATTTCTATGTGTTTAAGAAAAAAATAACTGCCAGATTTGTTCACTAGACTTGTAAATAAAGCAAAATCCAAGTGATCTTTTTACTCTACAAACAAAATCTCTCTGACTTTAAAGACTCCATCAAGAAATGGAAATACGTTTAGTTAAATAAATATTGTAAACTTTTCAAGTATCCCAGTAATCAAAAATGCACATCGAGACAATAAAAGACCATCATTTATTACCAAATTAGCAAAAGATACTTTGTCAGGATTCCTATTTGGGGTAATTGTGCAATGGATAAGTGCTAGGAAAAAATCCTACGTTGTGGACAGAAAATACAGTAGTAAAACACTTTAGGAAGTTATATGAAATAAGTATCCGGAGTGAAAAATGTTCATGATGCAATTTAATTTCTGGGAATTCATCTTAAAGAAGTAGTTATAAATATTTACAACAGAGATGCTACTTTAAAATATGTTAATATGATTTAATATATATGACTGTTTAAGTGGCCAGATGCATCCATATGTGTAGTGTGAGGGATGTGGAGGTTGGGATATTATAGAAGGAAAGCATAGCACCCAATAGGTAGTTTTTCAACATTTGCTCCCCTTATGCCCTCCCTCCTCTAATAGTACCCACTGTCCATTGTTCCCATCTTTTGTTAAAAAAATTTATTTTTAATTTTTGTGAGTACATAGTAGGTATATATATTTACAGGTTATGTGAGATATTTTGATAAAGGCATGCAATTAATAATAATCACATCAGAGTAAATGAAATATCCATCACCTCAAGTATTTATTCTTTGTATTACAAACAATCCAATTATACTCTTAGTTATTTCAAAATGTACAATTAAGTCATTATTTACTATAGTCGCCCTGTTGTGCTATCAAATAGTAAGCCTTGTTCATTTTTCTAACTCTATTGTTTCCATCTTTATGTCCTTGTGTTCTCAATGTTTAGCTTCCACTTACAAAAGTGAGAACATGCAGTATTTGGTTTTCTGCTTCTGTGTCAATTCTCTCAGGATAATGGCCTCCAGCTGCAACCATGTTGCCGGAAAAACAAAACAAAACAAAACATGACTTTGGGTTTTTTATGGCTGCATAGTACACCATGGTGTGTATGTATCACACATTTTGTTTATCCAGTTCACCATTGATGGGCATTTAGGTTCACTCCACGTCATTGCTATTGTAAATAGTGCAAGCAGTCCATTTTGAAGTTTTGACTACTAACAGAATTTCTGAGTTGAGAAAACTTTTCAATTTGTCTGATCACCGCCACAACTAGAGGAAAAGTTTTGTAATACAAATGCAAAAGACAAAAGCACATTGATATAGATTTTGAGGGGATAAGATTTTTTAAACTCTTATAATTCCCTTTAGCATGTTGTATTTAAATTTTTAAATTGACAAATAAAATTGTATATATTAGACATTTATGAGGTACAATATGATGTTTAGATATATATTTACAATATAAAATGATTAAATCATTCGCTAGTTAACAAATCCATAACTTCACACACTTATTTTTTTGTTGTGAAAACATTTTAAATCTTCTCTTTTAGTAATTTTGAAATATATGGTGCATTATTATTATTATTATTATTATTTTTTTTTTTTGAGACAGAGTCTCGCTCTGTCGCCCAGGCTGGAGTGCAGTGGCGCGATCTCGGCTCACTGCAAGCTCCACCTCCCAGGTTCACGCCATTCTCCTGCCTCAGCCTCCCGAGTAGCTGGGACTAAAGGTGCCTGCCACCGCGCCCGGCTAATTTTTTGTATTTTTTTTTTTTATTAGAGACGGAGTTTCACCGTGTCAGCCAGGATGGTCTCGATCTCCTGACCTTGTGATCCACCCGCCTCGGCCTCCCAAAGTGCTGGGATTACAGGCATGAGTCACCGCGCCCGGCTGCATTATTATTTATTAAAGTCACCATTCTATGCAATAGATCACTAAAGCTTATTCTTCCTGTTTGACTAAAATTGTCACGCTTTGATCAACATCTCCCCTTTCCCCATTCACCCCTCTTAGCCTCTGGTAACCACCACTCAATTCTCTACTTTTATGAGTTCAACTTTCTTAGATCCTTTAGCGTATTGTCTAGGTCAGGGTTCAGTTGTACAGGGCAGACTGCACTTTGGCTAGTTCAAGCAGGAAGGAATTTGTATCAGTCCATACGCATGCTGCTATGAAGAAATACCCGAGACTGAGTAATTCATAAAGAAAAGAGGTTTAATTGACTCACAGTTCCGCATGGCTGGGGAGGCCTAAGGAAACTTAAAATCATGGCAGAAGGGGAAGCAGGCACTTTCTTCACACGGCAAGGAGAAGTGCCCAGCAGCAAAGGGGGAAGAGCCCCTTATAAAAACAACAGATCTTGTGAGAACTCCCTCACTATGAAGAGAACAGCATGGGGGAACCACCCCCGTGATTCAATTATCTCCACCTGATCCCACCCTCGACCCATGAGGATTATTACAATTCAAGGTGAGATTACAATTCAAGGGACACAGAGCCAAACCATATCAGAATTCATTATAGAATTGTGGTAGGAGCTGAAGAAAAAAACTCTAGTTTGAGTTTTCAGGAACAACTTCTGTGGACTCACCATGGAACCTGCAGGGCAGCTGCTGCCTCTTATGTGATCAGGAGGCTCCTGGCTCCAGAACTGTGTTGTTATTGTCATCATCAGGAAACCACCATGATCAGGAAACTGCTGCTGTGAGCTCCAGAGGCGTGTCATTCCACTACGATTGATACAAGCAAAATGAATGCCCTGAGTCCTGTCTCTCAACATCGTGAGTGGGTCCTGAGACCTCTGTTAATGCTGCCACAGAGGAGTGATTAAATGTGGGGCTGCCCATCATAAGGGGCATATTCCCCCCACAGTGACTTCTTGAAACTCATTTGAGCTAATGCAGGTTGAGATCTGACCTCTGACCCTTTCCCCATAGCCATTGATGAAAAAAAGTAGCTCATATTCCAAAAAA